GTGCCTTACTAGTAGTAACAAGTGCCTTACTAGTAGTAACAAGTGCCACGCTAGTAGTAACAAGTGCCACGCTCTTAGGTTGGAGGCTGGTTTGTTTGCCGCAACGAGGTCGACCGGTCCTAGAGGTCCCGATCGGACCAGGAATTGAACGGGGATCCGGGGCGCATTGTAGGTGTTCCCGATGGTTTGCCGGTCAAACCGCCCCAAAAGACACGACGTACTTTCTTGGCCTTGTAGAGGAAAAGAGTTTCTATGACTATGACCGTGAAAGGCACTCGAAAGGAACTGGCAACAGAGTCACACCCAAAGTGTTGATGTCTCCCACATGTCTCTGCTGAAGTCAGATCCCTTCAGAGCAGCCCCTCACTCACTCAGCGCAGCCCTGCGAACGCAGGCACTCGTGCATCTCCCCATGCTCCTGCGAATGACTCGTCGAGATTATTCCACCCGTTGGCTCAAGGTCCTGGCCTTTCCAAGAAATGAAGACCCACACAAATAGTCTCGACACCAATTCCGATCAATAACAAAAAAATACAAAGAACCCAGTTTTTACCCAGTCGCGTGCCTCCTTGTGGCCCACAAACAATTTCTTCAAGCCCCAGTCGCAAAGGGTTCAGTCCTCCGGATGGTCGGGGTTGTGACGCAAGCGTGGTTGTCTCCAAAGATGATGCAAAGGGTATGCAGCCTCGGTCACTGGGAGCTCCTTACTTTGCTCATTCCCGTGTTGCTTCAAAACACACATTCACAGTGGTTCACAAACAAATGTGAGCATCAGAGTATTATTATGTAAATCCCCCTCAAGACTCATCTCTTCAACGGAGGGATCCCCAAAGACTAAATCTACAAGTCTGACTGAATCGGCAAGCTGTCAAAGGCATGAGCCAACAATGAGCCAGCATGAGCAAAGGGTTTTTGGAAGTGAATGATTTAGGATTAGGGTGTGCGAAGGGAGGGGAAGACACATTTGGCAACAGGGCGATAAGATCAGGCATCGGTGAAAATGCAGGAGCGAACAAAGGCAACATATTTCAGGAGACAAATGGACCATCAAACTATATAGTTGAAGGGGTTGCAATGCACAAATTGGCTAAACACGTTTCATTGAATGGCGATTAGTATCGATGGGAGGGAACCTGACCAAACTAATGGGCGTGGTCATGAATCCTGTGCTGTCATCAGGAATGATGATGATAATGAAGGAAGCGCTTGCATCCAAAAAGCAGTGGTATGGAAGCGCTCCGAGTCTGCCAACTTCTGCCTCGTTGCCCATTCTTTCTTGGTCTCGATCACCTTGATAGAAACATACGGTGGCATGCTGCATGGGACCACTTCTGTTTGGGGCTTACAGTAATTAATGAAGAAGGAGCAGGTGCCTGAATAGCTTCACAATAATACCTACATCCAAGCATACCTGTTTCAAATGCTGTGCGTGATATGTCCTAATCGTGAACCACAGACCCTACGGGATAGAACAAGATTTGCTCATATCATACAGATATCTACAGTAAATGAGTAAATGCTAGAATGTCCACTCAAGTGAAGCAAGCAAGTCATAGTCCTTTTGCACCATGAGCATCCAAGAGATGCAGACGCTGTGTCGCCGCACACAACGCTCTGTTACTTCGCAAATAGTGGTAGTACAGGGTACACTCCGACCGACTCGCATGGAAGTGGAAAACAAACAATCAAACAAGCAGTCACAAAACAATACAACACAAACTAAACACAAACACACAAACAAAAAAACGATCAAACAAACAAGCAAGCAAGCAAGCAAACAACAAGGTACAAACAGAAACTGCAGCCCCGTCAACACGCATCTTCTTGCTTTGTCTCCATCCCCTCCTAGAAACAATAACTGCAGCCTGCAGTTGTTTTTTTGCCCCCACCCTCCAAAACGACAAGCCAGTACCGGTACTGGTACTGGTAGTGATAGTAGCCGTAGCAGTAGCGGTAGCAGTAGGAGTAGGAGTGGGAGGAGTAGTAGTAGTAGTAGTAGTAGTAGCAGTAGTAGTAGTAGTAGTGGTATGTAGTCTGGCAGAACTAGTGGGATGAGTAGTGCCACTATGTCATAACTTCCTACTACCACAACGACTACTACTTCCGGAGGATGCCCTCGGGGCCTTCACCGCCGAGCTTAAGGCTTGCTCTGCCATCTCGGACAAGGCGTGCTGGACGAAGGACCGCCGGTGGGGGCTGACACTGGAGGCCTGGCTGCTACCTGAACCGAGTGACGGGTGATGGGGCTTTGAGCTCAAAACACAGAGTTCAAAGAAAGGAACAACATGGAACAACCTAAAAGGACCTATATAAAACATTCTAAAGTCTAAAGCCCTTGCTTGACACCGAATATGTGGATCTTTCGACAATATCAGCAAGAACACCTGGAGGCACACTTGCAAATTCCTTTGGGACGTTTCAATTCGGGCAGTGGCGTCAACATGAACGGAACCCCTTCCTCAGTACATAGAATCTGAAAAAGTGAGTTTAGATAGGTTTGGTTTGCTTCATGACATAAATTATGTTGCCCCTGGCCATTGGGATTTTGGCCCAGTGACTTGGTCCGCCAAACGAACACTTTTCAAGTGAACTGCCAGCATGCTCAGCTGAACCTCCATATACCTCCCCTCAAATACAGTGAAGTTGGTCCTGTGATGAATCAAGGTCGCTGGGCAAAAGCTCGTCATACTTCAACGGACAAAATGAGGATCAGCAAAAGCCTACAAAGCCCACAAAATGAGGCTAAGAGTACCTACGAGTCCCAATTGTTCGGCCTCCCAAGTGTAACCGGGCGCTGTGCCAAATGTTACGGATGTTAATCTCGAGCAGTCGCCACACAAACGCAAATTGAGACACACCCCCCCCGAACGAGGATTATTGAAGCGTTGACCCCAACAATTAACAAGGTGTTGTCGGCTTATTGAGATCTATCTCCCAGACAGTCCATTTGACGCGGTGGCGTCCACTGGCCTTCCACTGGCCTTCCACTCCGCTCTTTCCTACTGGCCGCGGGCGGCACAAAGTCACCCAAGTCGGATGACTGGACTAAGTCACCTGACCGACTCGTGAGTCCTTTCAATTCTTGCTCCCCCAAAAGGTTCTCCAGGCACATGTTGTCAGTGTCTTCCCTCCTCAAGATTGGTGAAAGGGTGAACAGGTGACAACATATCGTCATTCAACTCAGTTGCAATGCTGGCATCCATTGGATGAATCCTCCATTTATTCATCTGTATGACATTGTATGACTGTATTGCAGTATTTCAAATATTTTTTTTCCTGTGAGACACCCCAGGCCCACACACGCGAGCCCAAGTGACGGATTTCTTCCACCAACCAGGTCCAAGAGACGGATTCGTCCAATCTCCAAGGATGCTCGACCCGATCTTCCCGGGCTCCGGCCATCTTCCGGATCCATCGACCAGCTGGTCAGGAGATAAGCGCTGACAAGGATTTAGGTGTTCTCCAACACAAGGCCATAGCAAGATCTAAGAAATCACAGTTAAGATGTCAAGCAGCTCCAAATATCAGTTTGTATGCTTTGTTTGCTCTTTGCTTTCTCTAGTTCTGGGACAGGTCACTGAAGTATATCATACATCTATATTCATGGGTTAATCACAAGAGTTCAGAAATGATAGGGCTTGAAACTCTCCACTTGGATTTTTCAGGCTGCGAGCCAGTTGGCAACGATGCTAGGCAGCTTGGCAACGATGCTAGGCCGCTCGTTTTTGGTCGGTGCCAGTTGGGAAGCAGTTTGGATCAGCAGTTGCACGGACCTTGCTCGACCTTCAGAACCCAAGCAGCTCACATGGAACTCAAAGAAGGGTCCTGAAGGAGTGCCCCAAGGTTCAAGGTTTCTTAGTGATCTGGACCTTTGACCACACTGAATCTGGTCCATCTGGTCCCCAAATAACCGACCCCAACAGAGCCGGCTTTGGTCGCCAACAAAGCTCCGCCTGAGGCCAAGCCGAGAAGTTCTGAAAAGGTGCACACACCTGAGGCGCTCGAGAAAAGGTGCCATAGTAGCAAGTCATCCATGAAACCATCGCAGTCGAAAGGGCCCAGGATGAATAATCCTGAAACTGGTTCTGCAGGCGTGGCAAATGGATGACTTCCTTATATAGATGTAGCAACAGTGGTGTTCCAGGGGCCAACGGCCTTTCGGGATTCTTCAGGTAGCCGTTCCAGAGGTGGAAGCTTCCAGTAGACAGACTCAGAGTGACTCATCAAATCCAGCTAGTGCCGCTGCGGAAACTTCCTTTCCACTTCCCCCGAGTCAATTGAAACAGCTCCGGATCTGCTGTTCAGTTCCGTTCAGCTCTGGCACAGCTCCGTCTACTCAGTTTGCTGGACTTTTCCGTACATGGCCTGTCCCTCAAAGTGACAAAGTTTCTCAGACGCCTCAAATGAATTCAAAGGAATTGACTGAAAACGAAAAAGCACACACACACACATGTGCCGGTCATTCACTGGGTCGTTCTTTCTTTGTGATCCCAAGATGCACAGAAAGCACGACGTCGAAAATCAGCAAGAAAAAACCCGAGAGCAAGGAGACGATACCTGTCATTGAGGGGCTCGTTCATGTTCACATGTTGGAGACCACAGCTGCAGCGGTGTCATATCACCCAGCCTAAGAAATAGGACAAAATCACGGTCCACAGCTGTACTTTGGCCATGAGCCCGAAATTGTCCATCACTGGAAAGATGTAGAATCCAGCCTGAGAGGAGTTGCATCACATCTGGACTGCCCTGGACAGCACTTCTCTCCAGTTTAATGACCAAGCTGTATGGAAAGCATCTAGGAACTGGGCCAAAGCACCATGACTTTGTCTGCTTCAAAATACAGCCTATTGGGCCGAAAGTTCCTTCCAGGCCATGAACCTATGAATATCATTGACAATATCTATGAAGGCGTCTTTTGGCCTCCCAACTTCACAGAACACCATGCATCCGAGTGGCTCCAATAAAAAACACAGCTCGCCCCAGCTGAAATTTCCTCGGACCACGGCTGCAAAGGTGGCATCCAAAGTTTTGGCTGGTCTGACTGGATGTTTGGTCAAGTGAGGCTTGTGAGAACGCAGTGGGCTTTAATAAAGTAGTAAATCCCAAAACCACTTTGGGAACCCAAGTCTTATGACTCAATAACTTGGCCATTGGCCATTTAGTAAAACTTTAATGACACCCTTCCAAAAACAGGGAAGGTCATTGCTCTTCGACCCACGTCATCCAAGTCCATGACCCTCCCAGGTCCAGAGTCAGGCTGCAGAATCTCACGCTTCAATTCGTGGGGCCAGTCATGGAGCTCATTTGAGGTCCAAATTGAGAAGCAAACTGTTTTCTTTAGCCCGCTCCCCCCATCATCCCTGTCCCTACTTAACGAAGTAGGCACCTACTTAGTTAAGTAAGGGAGGAGGCTACTAGTACGCTACTAGCATGGACGCAGGATAGAAACACTCGTGATTTGGTTGCTAGATTTTTAGGGAAACCTAACCTTTCCAGTCTTTCTTCCCTATAGGTTGTGGGTCTGCACAGAAACCATTTGTGACCTGGGAGGGAAGCTAAAAGCCTTGCCTTGGTCTGGCAGCGGTATTTTTTGGTTTCTTGTCTTTCATTTTGCTACGTGTGTCGACAAAAAACACCAAGGACCTGGCAAATCGATGGACCGGAAATTGAAACGAGTACTTTTTCAATGTCTCCAAGGCTCAATATCCCCAGCCACAGCTCAACCCGCATCCAGGGGGGCCAGCTCTCAAAACCATTTCGAAGAACACCACACCTGAAAAGCAGGCTCGTGATACATGATCAAGGTACACTTCGGTGATCTGCGGGATGGACTAAAATATGTGTCAAAATATTGGCAAAGGGACCAAAGGAGAATGTGGGACTACAGAAAACACTGGGAGGTGGAGTCCCTACATTCCTCAAGTAATATATAACAAAGGATCGGCTGATCCGATGGAGCTCAGCACTCGGACCGCTGCCTTGCCTCTCAGCGTCTCAAACTATTAAAGCTGCACATGTTCAAATTGAGCAATGCAAGTAGTTGGGAGGCAAATGGAAGGACGACCCCAAGAAGTATGCCAGTCACACTTGGTACTGGTAGTCACTGGCCCATTCTGAAGTTGACCAATTGACGACAGAACCCGAGATGGTCCTCAACCGCCTTGAGCCCCTGGCTGTACTGTTGCCACCAATGCTGGGACGCTGAAGGCAATGAGGTACAAACCCTCCGGATTTCGTACACGGCGCAACAAATGCACAACTCAGAGCAGAACTTGCTGCATCTCTGGTCACCACTTGGATCAGGTCTAGGATCAGGTCTGTCTGGTCACAAAGTCCCAAAACCCCTCACAATGTCAGGTGTTTTGGGTCTTGGAGTGATGGACAATATCTCCGGTTCTTGCATGCTTCTACTGGCCATCACCACACTCCGAGCGCGCTAAGCAGTGTATGCTGTAACAAACAAGGTCCGAATGTATGCTGCTCGTTACTCTTTTAGATTTTTTTGTTAATCTGCGAACATTCTTGAAACCCTCTGGCGCGAAGCTGCCTGCGTCACCCAGAACATCCGGTCAAGCGCACCATGGTGGGTACGCTCTGGTTTCAAAGGGATGCACACCAACATGATGCCGATGATGATGAAACCTCCAGGCGCTGCCAGCCAACTGAACTGAGTGCTTCTTGTTGCCTTTTTGTACGGGTTGAATCACGTTCCAGGGCTATTGACAACAAGACCCGAAGAAACATCTGCTGCTCCGCTTCACCACAGGGCGGCCTCCAATGGTCATTGCCATTGCCAAATTCACCAGAAGAATGCCCTGCACGTCTGAACACATGCAGCAATTTGGGCATCTGAGAGGGGTGTGGTTCACAAGAATAAACACCTGCATGGTATAGATTGAGTCATTGAGTGGCGCAACACCAAACCAATTCAGGTTCACACGTTCTTTTCATCAATATTTGTTTCAATAAGCATACATATTTACGAGTACACATCGCGAGACCGAAAGGATCGTGTTTTTTTAAATATGCATCATCAAGACAACTCGTTGACGTTTTGGAGGACCAAGTGGAGGTTGGGTGCTTGGCACTGGTTTTTGGTGGTCTCAATGGTTTGCAAATAATAGCGAAGGATGATACTTCTTTCAGATGGACAAACAATTCAAAATCCTCAATCTGCATCGTTGGATACTCCGAACACCTAGCCTTGTCCAGATAGGGCGCTGACGAACGCCAAGCTTCTGACGCCTGATTCCGCTCTCCGTTGATCCAGCTACCCCCAAAAAGGATCAACTGGAACTAGGCCTCAAGCCGTTACGGCTTTGAACACAAGGACGCTACTAGGGGCTCCTGGCCTTACTAGTAGGAACAAGAAGCTACTAGGGGCTCCTTGCCTTTGAACTTTTGTTGCTCGGGCAACTTCCGGCCCTCCTTTTTAGCAACAATAGCACAGCTAGCAGCTAGCAACAGTGCAAGGATGCTGAGCGGCTGGCATGAACATCCAACACCCGAGAAGGGAGAGAACGAAGGCTGACCCTTTTCTTCGTCACATGCGGAGGTCAACCTATGCTTTGCACGGGGGCAAGCTCCCGACATGTCTTCACCCTCGCTACCACTAGTCATCTTTTGCTTCTTTGAAGGACACCACCTCGCGCCGGCACACAGCTATCTCAGGGATTGGCAGCCCATATTGAGATTGCTTATGAATCCTTGCAAATACTGCTGGGATTGTTCTTCGCACCCTCATGCCGCACAGTGAAAGGTTGCTTTCCCATGAGCCAGTGGTTATTTCAATTTTGAGCGCTTATTTTGCAACCTCGTACAACATGAGAAGGCGACATGCAGTTGCCGTTACTTTTTTGGGGCCAGACTGCCAAAGCTTGACGCTGCATGGTCGCCGTATCTACATCAAGTTCTCCTGTTGAGGCTACAAAAAAAAACAGATGCGCCAGCTGTCTTGCCATCTTTGTTCCGCTGGCGCTCCAGAGCGGATCGGACTGCGGAGCGGATCGGATTCATGCTTGGGCAACGCTGTCATATCTTCTGCAGAAGCGGAGCTGGTTCCTTCACTTTCAAGATTTGGCCACCAATCTCTGGCACAACAGTTATTAACATGTGCCCTTAGCAGTCGCATGCAGTTACGGCCTAGGCTGCACGAAGTTGGTGCATGTTGGTGCAAAGATGGCATCGCCGCTTGCACGAGCCAGCTGTCCTTTTCTCCCTCGTGGCCCCACGAGTTCCTTTCAACTTCTATGTTAAGGACTGCGCAGCTCCTACCATGACATGAAAGTTGAATAACGCTTGACACAGGATACGTCGCCAAAGGGTGTTTGAGGGAACATAATTATCGGCTTTGACGCTTTAGAAAGAAAGGCTTAACTTAACAAATCGCTTGCAACCAATGATACTAATGGCACTCCAAACAAGCTTGATGGCCCAGCCAGGTCCATTGCGTCTTTTCTTGTGGCCCATCGAGTTCCCTTGAGCTAAACATTGAGCCGCTCCAGCACTTAGTCATAAATCCAGCAGCTTCGAACATAGCATTCTAAGGCCGCATCACCTGCATTACTCTGAATACTGCAAGCTGCATGACCTGCGTCATTTCGATCACTTAACCTGTGTCATTCGATCACTTTTTCCCGTGACTGAATTTACCTTTTGGAATCACCTGCCTGGTGACCTCAAACGACCCTCCAGCCCGCACAACCTCTTTGCCAATTCCTCCTGTAGATTCTAGATCATACACCTGCATCCAACAGACTGTAGATCCAAACATCATAACCTCAACCATACGAGCCACGAATAGGTGGACCTATATAAGTGACAGTCCGAAAGGGTCCAAATTCCTTCAAACATCCCATTCTTCCCTTTCTTTTTGATGTCAGTCCTTTCACCACAAAGAATCGCTGCCTCGTGCAAGCCACGCTGGCAGGCCTCTGCCCCATGCTGCCAATTCGCCCGCGCTACCTGCGGGAACCGCTCGGTGAAACGTACGGAACACCTAAACGTACGAGCGATCGCCTCCAACCTAATCGGCACATCCAGCAAATCAATCCATGTTACTGGTGTGGCCCAAGCTGAGGAGAGATATAACCCCTTTTGTTGAACCTGGTGTGTGAGGTGTCACCGGGCCAGTTGGTAAACACTTCAGATTCACACGTGTTGCGGTGCCCAGAACTTTGTTGGCATTTGTGCGCCATGGCCCTGAATCTGAACATGTGTTTGGTTTTACGTCGTGTAAATCCAAGGAAGTCTGGTCCCACACCTTCTGGGGATGTCCCCCCTCCAGCCTCAGTTCCCTGATGCCACATCTCTGCCGAGCTCTGGGCCATATCCGCGCCCGCTTTACGCAAGGCCTGTCTGGAGGACTTGGGGCCATGCATCACACAGCCCTCAAAGAGGCGGTTGTTTTCTCGAGAAAACTCGTTTGAAGTAGCAAAGTCCTGCTCAATTTGAAGCTACCGCAACCCGGATACCAAGAGGGATGTCATTGAAAGGTGCCTCACCCCTGAACAAACCTCTGACGCCACGCCTTTTTTGATAGTCCTTCATGATCAACCCTTGGGCTTTAAGCATCGGTTTGGCCTGCCCTTCGGAACCAATATACCAAATCATTAAGGAGAGCCAGGGTTTGCGAAAACGGACCATAACTCTTGAGCTGTACATGACTTTACATTATTGTACTATACAGTCATACAGTATGTGTATATATATATATACTAGCCGCAAATGACATCATGAATTGTGCAAGGACCTCCAGGTCCAAACCACCACCTTTCCTATGTCATGTGTCCACAGTCTCCAAAAAGAGAGGACAGACATGTAAAAATACCAAACACATCTCATCTGTTCAAATCCTCAGAATCTCGGATTCCCAGGTGGCCCAAGCCCCACAGAGTCCATGACAAGAACCAAATCGCTCATGTGGTTGTGAATAGTTCAGAGTCCCATCTCATGTATCCGCAACCTATAATGCTGGGATTGACAATTAGGTAGGATCACAATTCACCAACGGAGAAGACACCGCTCCAGACATCGGACCGGTGTGACCTCCCAGTGTCCACCAGTGTCCCAGTGTTTCAGCTTTTGGGGGCACCGGTGTCTCTCCTCGTCTCCCCTTTGAGGGAATAGACACAAAGACAGGGGAGAGAAAAAAACGGCGTTCTTCGAGGATGAGAATGAAGGGAGTCCAATTGTCATCTTGTCTGTTTAGGTTCATACCACCCTTATACCATTCAAAAAAGACGTCTAATGCATCTCATGTGTTCCCGGCATTTGTCACCTTCTCAAGGTATGTATCTCAGGTGCACAAGGCGCGTTCCAAAACTTGCCATAAAGTCCTGTGAAACCTGCACCTAGTATTAATAGATGTTTAATGATGTTTATACTACATCACTTATATCAAAATATATATCAATCAAATCAAATCATATCATCATCATAAGGGGCGACTTTTCTTATTTACCTTTCCACCAGCCGCATCTTTGCCTCGGCTTTCTGTCGTGCCACCTCCGCGGCTTCCGCACCTCTGCTGTTTGCGAAGAAAAAAATACTGATCCTTCCGGGAAGATTACCATGGAACCTGAAAATTGACCTTTGGAAGCCGATGTTCCTCTACAACCCAGTGGTTTTCAGGGTCCATGTTAATCTTCCAGGGCGTTGGTGTGGTCCTTGCAGACTGTCCTTTATGGTTCCAACGAAGCTGAACATTGCGCATTTTGCATGGTGGCACTGGCACTGTAGCTCCTCCTAACACCTTCGAGCTGGCATCAAGTGCTGAGGCTGCGACCCTGCTTCAACACCGATGCGCCTTGCGCCCTTGTGGCCTGGACCGCTTCTGTGACTGGCTGGACCAATGAGGCGCCATACTGACGCATATCCTCCAAGGCTTCAGCCACCTAAATGCGGCGGGCTTCGCTGGGTGAAGCCAGCTCAGCATCCGTGGAGGTCGAACCGACCATGGTAATACGTCTTGCATGGTTCATTATAGGTCGAACACATCAGAGCTTGAACGCATCAACAGCAAAGCAAAAGGGCTCAGCCTTTGTTGGGCACCAAGCTAAACTGTGGCAGAATGTGAGGCATGGAGCATTGTTTGGCAACCATGGACCACTCCAGGAAATCGGGAAACGTGATTGTGTTGGCTGAAATACCGTCTATATAACACTTTGGAAGGGAGGGCCGACAACACGACAAGACGTCAATTGTTGTAACTGTGCACAAGATTGCACAACACGTAGTATGTGTATCTCAGTATTGCATTACTTGAGCAAGTGAAAGGATCCCCTGTATTGGATCCGATCAGTAGGAGAGCTCATTCTGCTCCAAGGTGAGTTCATCCTTTCTAGTTCATTCGTATATTCACCACTAGTTATTAAGTTATACATAACTATGCATCATATCTCCGGTTTTTCCCGAAGAGTTCATCTAAAGTCGTGTTCTTTTTTTTCACAGCTTATACTTGGACTGGGCAGCCTCAGCACGCGAAACGACCACTCTCTCGCTGGGCTCCTGCAAGTGTCCCGAAATGATGAGCCCGGTCGAAAGACTTGATCGTATAGATTGATAACAAACATGACCTTTTTTGCCTCTCCTGCTTCTAATTAAGTAGGCGCCTACTTAATTGAGAAAGGGAGTAAGCTACTAGCCACTTAAGCTTCTAGTAACTGGATGTAGAATAGCATAGAATAGCTCACGCTTTGTCAAGGAAGCTCCCCCCGCCTGAGGGGGGCACGATCACTAATCGTTTGGTTCCTAGATTTTTAGGGCAACTAGTAGCTTTTTGTTGCTAGTAGCGATGGCCTCCAACCCAATAGCGAGGGCCTCCACCTTGTAGCTTCTAGCAGGCAAAGCATTTGGTCACCTTTCTTTCAATCGACTCAACGGGAGACGGGAGCATGATGGAAAAAAGGCATTGCAGCGGTGCTCATCCGTGTGTTCCATGTCAAAACGCGAAGCCTTTTCCAACAACCAACGTCTGGCTGCTTGGGGAGGGGTCCATGATCATTATCAGCCCCAAAGCCCCAATGATTATATAGTCTTTCTCCTGGTTCACTTCCACTCTACTTGATGGAACAAAGGTGAAGTTCACACGCTCCAAGCCACGCCACCGGAAGAGAAGAACTCCTACTTAGTTTTACATAAAGTCTTAAATGTTCTGTTCCTGCAAAGATGGGATTGTTGGCGAACCCAACAATGACCAAAAAATACACATCTATGAGCCGACCGTGAGACCCTCCTGCAGGAGGGGCTGGGTAGCAGCTGGGTGTCCTTGGGCTTGAGGATGTGCTGATCCTGGAGCAAACAAGCAAGAATTCAACCGGGGGGGGCAAACACAGTGAGGCAGTCAAGGTCTGTAGGTGATTTTGGGGCAGTAGCCAGTGCAACCCACATTAAAGGGTGGTACACCTTCCTCCTCTGGTGAACTCTGGTGCCATGCAGCCAGCACACCAGCAATTGGAGATGGGTGCAAATGGGAAATCAGTCAACAGGAACAGCTGGAGAACAGCTGGAGCTGTCTGTACCCTTTCGTCATTCTGATGTTTGGTCTTACTTTCTTTCTTTGTCGGCTTGTCAGAGTCACACTTGCCCTCCAACGACCCCCCCAAAAAAGATGGAACCAAGCAAAGGTTCAAAGGTTCGAAACAAGACTGCTCAAGCCATACGGTCTTGCGGTTGGTCCAAGTGGGGGTGGCAAACCTACGAATCCTCCGAACGCGAAGACACACGATCGACTGATGTCCCATGATGTCCCATTGAATGACGGGCGTGCCGACAAGGCATCTCCTCCAGGACGGTGTGTGGCTTCGCTACGCTCCTTCCAAAGGGTTCAACCCAGCCGAGGTCTGCCACGGGGTGAAGAGAATGGGCCCTTGCTACTCGTGATTGCCGGTTGACAGGAGCCCTTTGTTTGTCAGGTCTTAAAGCTAGATTGTGACATCATCTGCCAGTTTGCTCTTTTGGTCTTCTCGAGCATCCATACAATAGGCTTCAAATTCCTGCCTGGATTAACTTTCAACACCGACAAAAATGTACAAAGTCTCACAGGCAATTGTGCCACACAAACATGCAAGACTCCTGAAGCTTTGGCATGGAAGAATCAACACTCTTGGACACGTTCTTTGGCAATGCTCCAGCTTGCACTTTCTCGAGTCCCTGAATGAATTTCAACTCCACACTCTCATGTTTAACTAGACCAAACTCTTTCAAGCCTCCGAGTTTGGACTCGGTGTGGCAGAAACTGGAACACCTCAACTTGTTTGTGTCTACAGTTCGTTTTATCATGTGTTCTCCAGCTTGCAACCCGTTTTGTCCACTTGGATTCACGCTTCCAGATTTTTCAGGCGCGGTCCTTGGACATTGGGTGTGACTGGCGTGCGCGAAGAAACTGTGCCACCAAACACTGGCAAGCACCACCCAAACCATCTGGATCCAAGCCTTCAACTACATACGACCTTCCTACGAGTATGAACATCCCTATCACAAAGGTTCAAACAAATGCCCAAATCCTTTTAACCGAAACATTTTTGTATCTGCAACAGAAAACATGGGTTATAAATTGTAACTTATAAGACACCTACACCGCCCATTTTCCAAACCAAGATGCGGCACAAATCCACTTTCAGCTATCTCACTAGCCTGGAGCAGCTGCATTATTGAAAACACAAACAAATTCGTTCAAAACGCCTCTGTCAGCAATACTGATTGTCAGACATGTCTTTAAAATCAAATCACAACTCTGAAATTCCTTCTCAAACTGGCACCAGCCACCTTGGAAGGTCTTTCAAACAATCTTACCGGAAACATTATCGAAAGCTGCACACCATTGCACACCCAAGCCTCTTTTGAATCCTTTGGCTTGGCTGTATCTGGAACACCTGAGAAGGCGGCACTTGCTTTTCTATGACCAAACAACAGTGGCACCGGGCTTCCCACTTCCAGGTGTGTCAGCTACAGTCCTTGGACACAGCACATGGCTTGGCAGCAAACATGCCGCTCACAGCACTGAGCACTATGAAGGCACATACAAGAACGTTTACAGTAGCGACAACTTTGTATTATGTTTCTTCAAAGCTGAAAACTATAGGGGTTCTTACTTCTCATTGACTGGTAGTTGATCGGCGTTGTGGTCCACAGCTGCCGCTGTTGCCTCGTCTCCCCAGCTGTCTCCTTACGTGTCTCCCCACTTGTCTGCCTGTTCGATCGGCATCTTGTCTGCCGCTGCTGCCTGATCCATAACCTGTCTCCCCATTTGCCTGCTTACATATCTCCCCACTTATTCAATTGTGTCCCCACTCGTCTGCCTATCTGATTGCTTTCTGGGGTCTATGCTGGTGCAATGTTGATGACTCTTAATGTCGGATCCCAATTAGTGTAATGGGAGGAAAAAACAAGTTTTCGCAGAATTCCCACAACCTGAGTAGTTTAATATTGAGGGAATAATAATCAGTTTTCACCCAGCGTTATTTTTTTAAGAATTGACTTTTTCGATAAGTTATTCTACTAATTGTTGCCCTTTGAAATCCTTGCTTAACTACTATGACTACCATCGACTACCTATCACTGCTGCTGCTGCTACTACTACTACCACCACTACTTTGCTACTACTACTAGTACTACTAGTACTACTACTACGTCTACTTCTACTACTACTACTACTACCACTGCGACAACTACCACTAACTACCACCACTACTACTACTACTGCTACTACTACTACTGCCACTATTACTCCTACTACTACTACTGCTGCTGCTGCTACTACTGCTACTACTACTACTACTACTGCCAATGAGTTTTGCTTGATTGACGAAACTCTGACCTGAAAACCTTTAAAGAACACCTTTTAACACTCATCGATTTCATTGCTGCAATTTGTTCAAGGGGGTAGTGCGCAAGCCCCGGGTACGTGAACAAAACAAATTGTTTAGGGGGTGGGATTAATTATAAGTAAACTTGGAGCCGTATATTTACACATACTCATTATATATTGTTCTGCTATTGCTGCCCTGCTTAACTCTTCTGAGGTTTGCTTGACTCATCGAACTCCGATCTGAAAACCTTTTTTGGAAACCCTTATACTACTACTGCTGCTGATGCTGCTACTACTACTACGACTACTGCCAAGACGACGACTACTACTACCACCACCACGACCACGACAACGACCACTACTTCTACTACCACTACATCTACTACCACTCCACTACCACTACCACTACTTCTACTACCACTACTTCCACTACCACTACTTCTACTACCACTACTTCTACTACCACCACCACCACCACCACTACTACTACTACTACGACTACCACTACCACTACCACTACTTCTACTACTACCACTACTGCCCCTGCTACTGCTAGTGCTACTGCGACTGCTCCTCCTCCTCCTCCTCTTCCTCCTCCTCCTCCTACTTCTTTTGGTGGTAGGGATTCAATTCAGACCCCCTCGGTTGTTTGCTAGGGGAACTGTTTATACTATTTAAGACCCAACATTAATTACTTGCGATTTAAACATAGCCTGACTGAAACATTCTGAAAACACTCCTCCTACTTAGTCTTACTTTGCCTGACAAAGATTCGGCAACGTTCCAGCTTCTGCCTTCTCAACTGCCTGGAAGAACAGTTAAGGTCTTCGTTTGACGAAAAGCACATGCTTGTTGTCCAAACTTGCCCTGAAAAACCACAACAATAAGTTAAACATCCGTCTCTGTCAACAGGCGGACCCTGAAACTAAATCTCCAACGAAAACTTTTGAAGACCCTTCAAAACATTCACCAGAAACTTGTTTGAGCACACAAACCGACTTCAAGCCTCCTCAGACTGTGGAACCTCAGGCTTGGCTGCATCTGGATCACCTGAGAGGGTTGCATTTGCTTTTCTGCAACCAAACAACCATGGCACTAGGATTCCCACTGCCAGGTGTGTCAGCTACAGTCCTTGGACACAGCACATTTCTTGCAAGCGACCATGCTGGATGCTCATCTCGTTCTCTTACAGTAATTGTTATTGGTTTCAATATATTATGAGGAATGGGTAGGCAGCAGTCACAACAATGAACACTATGAAAGCAACACAAATATCTACAGTACTGACAACCTTCCTATGACTCTTGACTTGTGTTGATGAGTTTTACTTTCGATTTAAACATACCATGACTGACACATTATGAAAACACTCCTCTTACTTTGCTTGACAAAGATTCGGCAACGTTCCAGCTTCTGCTTTCTCAACTGCCTGGATGAACAATTGAAGTTCTGTTGACTGCTCGGAAAGCACATGCTTTTCCTCAGTCACCCTGACAAACAACAACAACAACAAGAACACGTTCAACGTTCAACATTCAACATCCGTCTCTGTCAACAGGCGGACCCTGAAACTAAATCTCCAACAACAACTTTTGAAGACCCTTCAAAACATGCACCAGAAACTTGTTTGAGCACACAAACCGACTTCAGGCCTCCTCAGACTGTGGAACCTCAGGCTTGGCTGCATCTGGATCACCTGAGAGGGTTGCATTTGCTTTTCTGCAACCAAACAACCATGGCACTAGGATTCCCACTTCCAGGTGTGTCAGCTACAGTCCTTGGACACAGCACATTTCTTGCAAGCGACCATGCTGGATGCTCATCTCGTTCTCTTACAGTAATTGTTATTGGTTTCAATATATTATGAGGAATGGGTGGGCAACAGTCACAACAATGAACACTATGAAAGCAACACAAATATCTACAGTACTGACAACCTTCCTATGACTCTTGACTTGTGTTGATGAGTTTTACTTTCGATTTAAACATACCATGACTGAAACATTATGAAAACACTCCTCTTACTTTGCTTGACAAAGATTCGGCAACGTTCCAGCTTCTGCTTTCTCAACTGCCTGGATGAACAATTGAAGTTGTCTGTTGACTGCTCGGAAAGCACATGCTTTTCCTAAGTCACCCTGACAAACAACAACAACAACAACAACAACAAAAACAACAACAACAACAACAAAAACAACAACAACAACGACAACAACAACAACAACAACACCACGTTCAACGTTCAACATTCAACATCCGTCTCTGTCAACAGGCGGACCCTGAAACTAAATCTCCAACAAAAACTTTTGAAGACCCTTCAAAACATTCACCAGAAACTTGTTTGAGCACACAAACCGACTTCAGGCCTCCTCAGACTGTGGAACCTCAGGCTTGGCTGCATCTGGATCACCTGAGAGGGTTGCATTTGCTTTTCTGCAACCAAACAACCATGGCACTAGGATTCCCACTTCCAGGTGTGTCAGCTACAGTCCTTGGACACAGCACATTTCTTGCAAGCGACCATGCTGGATGCTCATCTCGTTCTCTTACAGTAATTGTTATTGGTTTCAATATATTATGAGGAATGGGTAGGCAACAGTCACAACAATGAACACTATGAAAGCAACACAAATATCTACAGTACTGACAACCTTCCTATGACTCTTGACTTGTGTTGATGAGTTTTACTTTCGATTTAAACATACCATGACTGAAACATTATGAAAACACTCCTCTTACTTTGCTTGACAAAGATTCGGCAACGTTCCAGCTTCTGCTTTCTCAACTGCCTGGATGACAATTAAAGTTGTCTGTTGACTGCTCGGAAAGCACATGCTTTTCCTAAGTCACCCTAACAACAAACAACAACAACAACAACAACAACAACAACACGTTCAACGTTCAACATTCAACATCCGTCTCTGTCAACAGGCGGACCCTAAAACTAAATCTCCAACAAAAACTTTTGAAGACCCTTCAAAACATTCACCAGAAACTTGTTTGAGCACACAAACCGACTTCAGGCCTCCTCAGACTGTGGAACCTCAGGCTTGGCTGCATCTGGATCACCTGAGAGGGTTGCATTTGCTTTTCTGCAACCAAACAACCATGGCACTAGGATTCCCACTTCCAGGTGTGTCAGCTACAGTCCTTGGACACAGCACATGACTTGCAAGCGACCATGCTGGATGCTCATCTCGTTCTCTTCATTGTGATCAGTGTCCGCACGACATCATGAGTGAGCAATCACTATCACCGTGACACTCACTGACACACTATGAACACGAAATTAATACGGCATCACAACCTTTCTATCAACCATCCTTTTGATCCCTTTTCATGAATGTAACTCCACAGGCAAACGTAGCATGGCGGAGATCATTTGTCAAACCGAAACGACTTACTGTTCTGTAAGATCAATTTAATTTGTCCGACCAAGATGCGGCAACGTTCCAGCTTCCGCTTTCTCGAGCGCCTCTTGAGCTACCAACATTTGATGGCTACATCAGTCGTTGGATCTATAAATGTCGCTCGATTCATCAGCTCTGAGATAGGGCTATTGCTCTCTGTGTCCGGAAATATACATGACCCAAATGACCCGCAAAGGCTAGACATGGCTAGACCCAATGAAGGGCAAACCCACAAATGACCTGTTGACCCGTTGCTTTCTGGAATAGTTCTGTGTCTCATCCCTGCATATCCCACAGAAAACACTGAGGGAACCTTGTGAGTGTTTCATCTATTGAAACTTGCCTTGTCCATTGCCGGCACACTTTGACTTTCATTGGAGGATACTGGAGGTGTAGTAGACTGCCTTGCGGTCTTACAAAGTCAACACTGTGGCCTCAGCTGCTGTTGGGTCTATTTCCGCCATGGCAGGACAACCTTCACATGTCGTGATTTAAATGCAGCTGTGGGACAATTCATAAGGCCCGCGATGTGATGGGTCTATCCAATTTGACAAATGAGAGCCATTTGATTAAGCTGGTACAACCCAGTTGGAATGCCAAACAGATCAGCACAAAATCATGATTGTGCCACTGTGAGAATACTGTGAGATACTAAATCGACCTAAACATCTATTCCATGTGTACCAGGCTACAGTACCTTTGCATGAGTCGCTGTCTTTCACAAGATTCTGTTTCATGGTTCGGCGACTTCCTCACTCGGCTGCTTTTGCTCATGCTCAAAGAGTCATGCAACGCGTCAGCAAGCTTTACAAACATACAGGTGCAACAGTGCGAAACACGTTGACACGCCTCAGTTGGGTGTCTGAAGACAAACTGTTGATCGATCAATCACACTCTGAGGATTGAACCACCTCCTGCCAGGTGGATTGGAGAGAACATGACTCATGACTGCAACTAAGTGAGAAGAAAGAAGCCAGCAAAAGCTCCTCAAAGAAGCAGTGCTAATATACTTGTCAACCCAATCTTCACCACATTCTGCCCTTCGACCAAGTGCCTTGAGGCAATTCCTCCGACTCATTCATCCCTCAACATTTCTCCGCCAGGTTCCGTTCCTCCAGAAGAACTTCAAAGACGGATGGGATCAGCACCACCAGGGAGAATGCAGCCTCGTTTCTTCAAGGAGTTGAAGCCCAACCGGAGTAGCAGCTGATTGATTCTTTTGGGATACTGTTCACGCTGCAAAACCTTGCAACTTGAAAGGAATGATGGGTTACTTTTCACCAAATCCAAAAATCAAAACAGTACAAGTTTTGTCATTTTATCGCACCCTTAATGCCAAACAGCAACAAAGCAAACTTTATATATAAAATTCCCACGTGTGTGAACGTAGAAATACGCACGAATGCGGCTCAGGCGCTGCAGGGAGCAAAGACCGTTGAATCAAAGTTCAACTGAAATCAAACTACAAAGGTGGCTGAACCACGCTCGTCTGGGAAAGGAAAATCGGATATTCTAATCTTAGTAGATATCTTGCCCACTGTTGAGATACTAGAGGTGCACCCTCCCATCTGCCAAGTTGCCTCAACGTTGGCTGCCAGCGAGAAGCCAATTTGTACATCGTTGTAAGGCAAAGGTCTCAGAAGAAACTCCACGAGCTTGCAGTGAGAACTTGTAAACCTGTACTTACTGTACACCAATTGCTAGGGTCAATTATATATTAGTGTAGCCAATCTTGTACATTCCTTTCAGACGTTGAAAATATGATCATCCTTGGCAATCAAGCGTTGTAGAATAGCATCTTCCGTGGCAATTAGCAGTTTCCCAGTGTTGGAAGTAGTACTCGAAGTGCGTGCAACATCGATTCTTGAAGTGGAACAAGTAACACACCCAAGAGGGGTCGGTTTGGTACCATCTATATCCCCATTGGTTCTACACTTGAGGGTATCCCCTCTATTATATAATCAACCAACCAATGAAGGACTATCTTGTCCCCAACTCATTGTCTGCTGGACTCTGGTTCAGATTCCGGAGCCCCATTCCACAAACTGCTCCCCCTGTTTCCCCGGATGGAGAAAACACACGTGGCCCCAACGCGGCAATGTTGCTCGTGTAACAAGGAACAGAATGTGCTCCAGTGTCAGCTTGCTGATAGCAGGCATGGTGGTGATTTCTGACGTGTCACTTGCGTTGAGCTTCAGGCCCTGTCGGCAACGCCAGGCCTCACAGATCAGGGTTGGGTGTTTGAAGGATTTGTGATTCTTGGCATGCATCCCAACATATTTGTTTCTGCTGTGTGACTGTACCTGGTATCTGGCTTCAGCTCAAGTATTGAGATCTGAGAAGCAGTATAATCATGGTGCAGCACAGACAAAGGACATGCAAACATGTGCCACTTCACATCGAACCGATCCAACTTGGAACGTGCCCAGTATCTCATCCAACTTGGCGTATCTATCCTTGAACTTTGCTTTGATGCTTCATGCATGGATGCATGGGGCTGCTCCACTCTCTGTAGTGCTGTGATCAATATCCCGCCATGGAAAAGCACCCCGTGGGGAGAAGCTCGAAATTCGAAGGACATACTTCTCTACTTCTATAGTGCTGATGTAATCAATCTCTTCTAGACATGGTTCAATCATGTTCAATCCAAACGTTCTCACATACACCATATTCAACAATGTTAAAGGGTTTAGATGGGTTTAGTATGGTTTAGTTGTGTACCACCTCAAGAATGGCACCCAAAGGCCCAAAGGCACGGCGTCTTGGTTGCAAGTCTGCAAGATCTGACCTTGCATGAGTTCACCATCCAGTTAGCCATTGTCCACCTCATAAGTATATGGGCCTGCAAGCTCAATCAGGCCACATTGGCCACCATGGCGAATCGCGGAACTGGTCTTCCCCGCCCGCACCTTGGAAAGATGCTGAGATCGTCAACGAGGTGAAGCGGAGCAAATCAGGTCCTCCCCAAGTGGAGCAGTGATGGGAATGTTGGGCATTAGATGGCGCAATCTTAAAGATGTTGAGGCAACTGAACTCCTGCTGTAAAGGCAGTTAAGGCTCATGGAGACCTATGAGTTTGAGTCATTGTTTCAGTTCCAAGTGCAAGGGACTACTCCGAACAAGGAGTGGGCACTCGACCGTCCTGATGAGGTAGCACTTTTGATCTACTGTCAAAGAGAGAACAAAGGGCAAATTCAGCCTCCTCTTCAGTCTGAAAATGGCCTGGCAACTATTGGCAACTGAAGTCATCGGCGGTCCTGCGAAGGTGGCAACCTGATTGTCCACTGCCAGGAACCATTGGTTCCTGCTGTAGCGTCATGCGGCCAGAGTTCTGGTGCAGTTGCGAGTTATGGTGCAAAAGTGTCTGTTCACCGAAACTATAGATAGCCAGCTCTGAAACTGCTAAGGGACTGGATGCTCTTAGCCACCACAGCCCCAAATGACTCTGCTTTAGATTTCTTGGCTATGTGTGGGCTGGGGCTGTGACTGGCGCAAAGGCCCCGCAGGCAAGTTTAGTTGGAGTTCGAAGGCATATTTCCTGAGTCGTGCAATTTGAGATGCATACGGCCGACCATTCATGATTGACTAGGCCCTTATTGGTCGCAACCCACGGAATCCATGTTTAAAGTTTAGAAGGCAATGTATTGACGCTGGGGTCTTTGTTTCTTCACCAGCTAATTGGATCGTCTTTCAACCCGGCATGCCACTCTCTCCCCCTCCAAATACGTCCACACTTGTCCAAACCCATTGGTCATGTCAAAGAAGGCTAAGATCCGCACGCCGCTTGCAGTGTAACCCCTGCAATCTCCACTTCGACTACGCCTTCCAGCAAAGCACCAGGCCTCCAAGACACCATGGATTTACTGCGGTTCCACCTCCTTTCGCCTATACAGTTTCTTTGCAATTTCCCATATTATGTTGTATGTTCTACTGTATAAAAAGAAACATCTCTCAAGACTGACTTTGCGAGTTCCCACCAAGACCCGGAGTTGATTTGTGGTGTTCGACCCTCTGGTGAGCCTGGGGAAGAGGCCAGTTGTGCCCCCACCACCACCGAGACAGGTGACGTCGCCTCAGACGTCGCGCCGTTTGTTTCATCCTTTCAGCCACATCAAGAGTCGAGGGCAGGGCCATCAGGCAGGGAAGCGTAGCCAGCCCCTGTGGTGACATCCTGACGAAATAAGCATACAGAAAGGGAAAACCAGGCGTGGATTTGGGAAGTCCAACCTATACATTACAAAGGTAATTATGACAGTGTGCAGGTATATGTACGAAACGTTACGAAACACATACGTGCCGCTTGTTTAGGCAAGCCAATCGTGCGAAGCAAACACAAATCCCTGGAAACATTATATTATTCCTGTATATTTCTAGATGGTGAACAGGGCCTCTTTGAAAATAAGGTACAGTATGGTAGAGTAAGCCATGGACCAAGGCAATTCGGGGAAGCCAACATGTTACAAACAATTGCCCCAACCTTGGCCATCTAAAAGATATCCACGATGCTTGTGGTACTGGCAATGGAAACCGACGGGTACCACTGCATATCCACTAACAGCGTTGTGAACACTCCCACTTCACATAGCTCATTGAGACAATGTCCTGCAAACGCAAATGCTGCTCGCATCGTCCGGGTACCCAAAGTCCAAAAGGCAGCAGGAGCAACAAGCGGGCTGAAGCCTATCAGGATTGAAACAGCTACCGATGTACCGAATGATCTGAGGAGATTGTTATTGTACCTGGCACCAAAGGGAATGCGGGGCTTTAAAGCTACTTGATTGAACACGTGGTTTGCCAATCCTTAACATCTATTTTTGGTAATCCAAGTGAGCTGTACTTATAACAACCGCCATGAGTACAAAGCTTCTTTTTGAACATGTTGGATGACAAGAGCTTCAGGTAGTCAGCATCTAGTCTAGGAGCCTAGGAATTATACATGTTACATACAATTGTATATATATATATATGGAATTGTATCATATTGTATCAGGGTTTTGCAGCAAACCGGCCTTTGGACGTTGACCCACAGTAATCTCACGACCTACTACGACCTACTAGATGTCCACCTCTCCTACCTCTGCAAACAACTCGAAGCCGACGATGACAATCGGCAGTGTGTCTGGACTCCAAGCCACCTGGCAGTGTCAGGCAAGCCCTGCCAAGGTTCAACTCAGCATCCTTTCTTGCCCTTGCAAGCACAACTTGATGAACTGTACAGGGGCACCATGTGGAACCCTGTGAGATTCATCCCCAGCCTCCAGGACACTGGCATTCAAGGCTTCCTACAGGGAGTGCAAGATCATGAAAATGCAGGCCCGTGTAATCTCCTAGATCTGTCAGTTCTCCCCCCTAATAGCGATGGCCTCCAAACTAAGAGTGATGGCCTCCAAGCTAAAAGCGATGGCCTCCAGCCTAGAAGCGATGATGATCTTTAACCTAATCGCGATGGCCTCCAACCTAAGAGCAATGGCCTCCAACATCCTCCAACCTAGTAGCAATGGCCTACAACCTAGAAG